ACCATACAATTGTTTCGAGTAATACCAAATATCCATCAACAGTGATCTTGAAAATAATTCTTATCTACTAAATGATATGAGGTCTGAGTAGTTTTTTGATATTCCATATATCTTGCGGTTCATTATCTTAGAGTTTAAGTTTTTTCATATTTAAAATGATACATGATGCTTATATTAAATGATAGTTAATAAGCTTATTACTCCCAAAGAACACGGCAAAATTCACATAAAATTTGATTTGGATATCATTCCAATGTTATTGTCGCATATATTCAGCGTTATTCGCAGATTAACAAATCGCGTGTATGTAACAAACGAAGGTATCTTGAAGACACCTAGATGTAATCTGATGTTTTTAATTAAAAAACAAATTAATAAATATTATGAGACAAATATATATTAATCTGTATGTGTGTACTCGGAGATTATTGCACTCCATGTGAGACTATGAAACAATTTGATAAGTGGTCCTTTGATTATGAAGGCTGATTTGCATTTTTATTTTTATGTTTTCATTGAAAGTGCCATAAATGGATGCTTCATCAGTTTGTGTCTTTTTCTGAAAATGCACCGCATAAAGTCACAGTGCTGCTGATATTTACAAAAGAATCTTTTCTGCTGATATACTATTGCACTGAATTCTTACAATAACAATTACCAAACAAATGAGAACTCTGCTTCCTTCGGCGGAGTTATGCACCCTATTTCAAAGGCACTTCTAAACACACACTGCTCCTTGGGAAATATGCAAGATACAAAATCTTTTGTTTATACTGGGAGAGCAAAAACTTTTGGCAAATGGTTAAAGTGTGTTGATTGCCTGCCGCAAATGCGCAGGTGGCAAGTGTTTCAATTGTAATTGAAATTTGTGGCTGTTCATCGATTTTGTATCTGACGGGTATTTAGATATGTCAACAAATGGCCTACAATCTTGTGACAGAACACATAAACAGCCAAGTGCTGCAAATCAATCGCCAAATATGGTACTTCATAGTTTAGTCATTCGTCAATCAGGTGCGATTTGGGGGTCACAGCTAACTGATATAACAAAATGCCATCAATGTAAGACTTTTGGAATGCTCATACAAACATGTGCAATTTAAATACCAAGTTTTTTATAATCATCTCTTTGTTTTCAATTATTCCGAAAAGTGAATTTTCTTAAATCGAAAATATTATTAATTATAGAATTAAATGTATATATTAAATGTATGTGAAATAAATTCATTTAATGCATATTTGCATGACAAATTGCAATGGTTCTGCAGTGGGCACAATTATTTGAAGAATGAGTATTTTGAAGATCATCAATAAATGGCTCTTATGGGACGAAACGTCAAATGATCAAAAAATTCAGTAATATTTCATTATTACCGTGATCAGTAATACCACCGTGATCAGTGGCGTAACTACAGGGAAGCAACTGGAAGCAACGCTTTCGGGCCCCCGAATTTAGGGGGCCCCACTATAAATGTTTGTAAACGTTTTTTGTTGGAATAACTTCATATTGCATTTTATAAAAGACACGTAAATTTTAAATTTAAAGTACATAATATGTATGTACTTCAAATAAAATATTAAACCTATTTATAAAATAAAAAAGTTTTTCTAAGAAAAGTATGTCTCGTAATCGAGAGTTTATATGGAAGCTATATCTAGATTTAAACCCATTTGAAAATAATTTTGTACGTTGTCTTTTGCAAATATCAGTACTGTATACACCAAATTCTATTTAAATACCTTAATTAAAAACGGAGAAACCTCATATCCGATTGTTAAGTTTATATCACAGCTACAAGAAATAGACGTCAAATTTCAATCAAATCAAATGGTGAACAGGGTCGGCTAAAAGTATGTGTGTAAAGTTTCATTCGGAGAGTTCAAAAGCTGAGAGAGTAGTTTGAACTGAAAAAGTATATATATACTGTACTGATATATACTTAATGGTATTTCCGACGTTTCCTTTAATGCGTTACGAAAATCTTGACAAACCTTATATACCCTTTTCACATTTTTCGTGTAAAGAGTATAAAAAGAGGGGCCCCTTAGTATGTTGATAGGGGCCCCTTAGTTAGAATTTGCTTACAGGCCTAAAAAATGTAGTTACGCCACTGACCGTGATACCACCTTTCATAAAGATTTAAATGTTTCCGATCTCACTTAATTTAATTGGATTTCAAAATAAACATTGAAGTTTAGTTCCTGACATATAACGAATTTTTCAGTGAATCAATCTATTCATAGATGTAGAAAAACTGAACTATGTGGGTATTTTAAAATGAACCACCAACAATTTAAGTTGTTTGATCGCTCATTGTAAGTAAGAAAGAGCCGCCTGCTTATTCTCTAGAAGTCCACTGCTGTGCATTTTAAGAATCAAATTATTTAATAGAAAAGTAAAAAAAATTTCGATTTTCAGACAAATAACGAAGGGAAAGCCTATCGATTTTCACATATAGCTTCAGAGCTCTGTCCGTTATGCATTTTTTGACCGGATCGATTTTAAGGTCTCATAGTATGTCATTCGTGCGGATGTACCATGGCACTTTGAAGATTCTTCGGAGAGCCTGACTTTAAGCAACTTGTAGCTTCTGGATAGTAGAGTCGGTAGCTTGGCTATACGCGACACACTCATAAAGTAGTGCTGGACTAATGATCTAGCTGTAGATCAGCTTTCTGTTCTTTGCGCTAAGGTTGTTGTGTTTGAAAAGTGGTTGTAAGCATTGCAGTGTTTTTGCACAACTACTGCTTTTGTCTTGTCAGATGTTAAGATTATCCTAAGAACAGACGTATTTTCATAGTTAGTCAGAGTGGAATAAAAATCTTAAAACTAAAAGAATTTGAATCGAAAGATGTCCTCATTTTTTAATTGATTTAGTCCAATACCATCATAATCGCGTTATCTAACTTTCTGAGTAAATTTCTTGCTATTAACTGGTTTAGAGACGTTAAAGGTGTATCTGCTCCTTCTTTTTATCTTAATAATAATACCTATTTAAATTTTATATCATAAAAACGACATTTTTTTGTGAAATTTTCGCTTATTTTGATCCATCAACATTTGGTGTTGGAAGAATGAGATTTAATTTAGCTTATTCGTTGAAATGCTTCTGTATTGTTTATATTTTACTTTTAAATTATTGTTTACAAAATTAAATAAAATCTATTTGAACTCTAATCGTTTTATATTTTATTTGCAGGAAGATCGTTCATCTGTATCATCTGGGAACGAGTCAGATGAATCTTCGGATATTGATTCCCCTATACTGACTTCAACAAATACTAAAAATTCTGCTGTTGATAAGTTACCAGTAGACAAAAGTGTTGCAACATGCAGTAGCGCAGTGCAGGCAAATATCAATACGGCACAAAGGGTCCAATCAAAAAAAAGCTGTTGTTCCATGGAAGTTGTTAATCCACAGAGCGATGCAAGTCTTTTATATCCTACCTCTGCACTATCAAGTGTTCCACAAGATGTTCTCCTACAACTAATTCAGTGCGGACATTTGCAACTTCATACTGAAGAAGGTACGTGTATCTTAATAAAAATATTAATGACAATGACAACCTATTTTTGACTTTGGTTTTTTAGACGGTAGTGGTCACCAATATGTGGCTATTCCTTTGACTTCTTCAACTGCGAATCTATTAAAAGCTAGTCAGTCTTCAACAACTAGTACTGTAAACACAAAAGATTGCTTAGAAACGCGAAATAAAAATGAAATTAGCAGTTCAAAAGATAAACAAGAATATCAGACAAATACTACTTCAAGTGGATTGGTTATAAAACAAGAATCAGTCTAGTTTTAGTCCCAATACAATATTTAATTAGTCCAAGTAAATTCTTTTAACTAGAAAGATATTGGATCAAGACTTTGAAAGTACTGGTATAACGTTCCTAAAGTACTTGTCATATGGAAACTATACTCTTGTTCATCTTGTTGCAGTTATATTGTTCAGTTTTTAACATGTTTGTGTATTGTATATTGAATAATAAAAAATTTATTTACTAAATTTATAAAAATATATTCTGTTATTTTCTTATTTTATTTGACCATCTTGATCAGAGGTTGAAAATGGTCAATATATATCATACCTCACTTGAAATATTCTTGATAGCAAAAGTGTTAAATTATTTTTATCCAATGTATTTAATAAATTTAAGTAATCATGTGCGCAAAACCTAAAGATAGTAATGAATCTTAGATTCTTAGTTTTCTGGGTTTCATAAATTATGAAAAACTTCCGTCAATGGTCTATTGGTAGGTTAATGCTTTCCACCTAATAAGAAAGTAACAGCACCGAGAAGCAAGAATTCATCGAAATTGATTGTGGAAGTAATATTCAAACGTGTTCATATATTTTCTTTTTTCTTATTATTTTGTCAAGAAATGTTATTTAGAATTCAAGTCACTGCGTTAAGTTGTTAATAAAGTTACGCATTTGAAATAAGAAAATTGCTTTATTCACAACGTGGTTAATATGCAAAGAAACCGGACAAGTGGCACGAGCTCAAATAAAATAGCTTCCGCTGTTGGTTGAATACATATGTGCTCTGCGTATACCTACCATAAATGCTGATTGAAGAACGCGATTTCAACTGCCAACCTAAATATAGGACACGAAATCGCAAACAATGTTCTCAGTTTTATTGTTAAAAACTATTTTATTCAAAGTGATTCTATGTAATTAAATACTATAAATTAATTATAAATGCCAAAATGACAATTCAAAACAATCTTTGTTTTTTAATGATTTCATAATCATTTTTTATATAGTACTTTGTACCAACCGTACTAATAAAACTATCTGAATTATCTACTATCCTACTAAAGGAAATTTCCAAATCGAACCAGGACATAAAGTAATAAGTAAGTAATTTAACTTATAACTTATTATGTGAACGGGAGAAACAAAATCTATTTGAACACTGGAGAGCGCAAACAGGCACGCGGCAGTCAAGAAGATTCACTGATCCTGAACACATTAAAATTGACGTTATCCTTAACCTTAGCAGAAACGATATTAAAATCTACACTGTACTTTTTACAGAACTATGTAGACTTAATTACCATATGAAGATTATAGGTGCGGTAGAAAGCGATTCCTATCGACTCTGTCATGAGGAGAAGGAAACATCGGAACATATCGTAAGCAACTGCCCAGCAGCAGCAAGACATAGATTCGACTACCTAAGAAGCGGGATCTTAGTCCCAAATCAAATAGGTAAAATTAAGCCCACTGCAATTACGAGATTTATAAATAGTCTAGAACTGTTTTCGTTATCTTTCGATCTTTCAGGTCGGGGTACATTCATAGCCTACTATTTAATAATAAAAGTTGTTTTGGTTATAAATTTAAAAGATTTTTCAACTCAATAAAATCCTATAGAAAATAATAGCACTAGCAAAATGTATTCATTAATATGAAAAAATATGAAAACCTAACAACCAAGGATAACCCTACACAAAGATAGGTAACGTAACATAGCATAAAAATAACATTCTAGTAATGTGTTTTATAAATCACTGCCGAATATTACGTCCCAGTCTCTACATTAAGTGAAACTTTATAAATCTATAAGCTATAATCTGTTATAAATATATAATCTCTAAATTTTTTATAAATAAAATTATTAAAATTTATAAAATATTATCAGAGAATATATCAAATAATAAAGATTTTCAATCAGAGAATCAGATTCTATAAAATTATAAAAATATTATAAAATAAAGATATTAAATCAGAGAAGAAGTAGTAATTAGTGTGGTTTTCACACAGATTAGTCATTGTACATATTTTTAAATATTCAATGAAATGAACAGACATCATTTACCGGTTTCACTTATCTACACCGATCTAAAGAATTGAACTTACTCTTTAATTCCAAAGAAATTAGTCAGATAGGGAGGATTACATCAAGATATATAAAGATCACATAATCAAATAAAAGAAAAAAATCAACAACCCATCGAAGTTATCTTCGGGGTCAGTATATCTCAGGTTCTTAGATTCTTAGATTCCGCAAAAATGATTAGCTTCTCTTTAAGAAGATTTGACTCCCCAGTTAGCTTAAAATTCTTTTTAGCAATAGAATAATTAAAATATTAACAAACTATAGTCATTTGGAATTAAACGAGTATATTCTAAAAAGATATACACATTTTAGTAATGATTAATGTGTTTGGGTTTTTTATAAAAATATAACTTTTTTATCTGATTAAAATGATTATACTCTTTTTGGTCTATTAAGCTTTTTCTATTGACTTTTCAAGGTAAATTACATATAATTTAGCTATCTACATACAGAATGTGTGCTTATATGCACGAATATGTAATTTTATGCATTAGGATTGGCTCTAGGAGTTGTCATGTCATTAAGCGATTACTGACGGACATGGGAAGGAAATGGCGTTGAAATCGATTTAGTGTTAGACTGTGTTTTTAGCTAAATGCCAGTACCTTTGTTGGCACTTTCGGTTTTTATAATTAAAGTTATTGATATTTTTCAAAAATTTGCATTAAAATTTAGTAAAAATTGATAAGTTTAAATATAATAATTTAATCAACTGTACTAGTATATATTAAAAAATGAATAGTTTTGTGATTTTCTTGAAACCTTTAGAAATATTATCAGAAGATCGGGTACTTATATTCAAATAAAAATAATTATATTAATAGTTAAGGAAAATGGGTTGCAGTCATTCCAATACAAAATCGACTTTTAATGAAACGCCATTTGGAACGAATAATGGTGAAGCAATCAGCCCCGACAAGAAAGAGGATAGCACCAATTTCGAAGAACAACGTCAATACCGTAAGTATAAGCTATTTCAGTATCAAAATATATATTCTTATAATTAATTTATTTGCAATGGATTGGGGAAAAAGTATGCGGCTTTATTTGTGTGCTTAACTTTTAAGTAAAATAACTATAAAATGATTAGTTGTATTTATTATTTTCTATTCGTATATAAGATAGATGATTGATAAACTGATTGGTGAAAATTTTATTTAGATTGGTATTGCAAAGCATATATGAGCGATATTTCGAAAAAGATCAAAATATATTACAACTCCTTTATGACAAAAAAAACACTAATGCAGTTTGTGGAAAAAATATGCTAATGCTAAGAAATGGTTCGGTCGGTTTCATGCTCTAAATTCCGATGTGAGTGGTGGAAAAAGAGCGGTATATTAGCAGTTACAGCATTACGATAATGCCATCTATTATGAACGACTATTATTTAGATTGATTCGAAATTTTGAAATAGATCAAAAGGAAAAGTATTGTAGTTTATCATAGGCTTTGAAAAAAATCTAAATATAATAATTCTTTATAATTCTGCCATTTTAAAAAATGGCAAAAAAGGAAAATACTAAAAATCATAGTTTTAAATTACTACCAAAGAACTATGCTTATGTTTTTTCCACAATCCAATACAAATATAAACTATAATGAAATCATATATGCTTACAGCTTCATCAGAAGCTTTCATAGTATCCTTGGACACTGGCTCCCAACCTGAAGATTACCACGCGGCTGACTCAACTGCTGCTGAATTAGTTAATGCAAAAAAAATTCCCAAACGGTTGCAGCAATTAATGCAACAACCAAGTTCAAGTGAATCAAAAACTACTCGGGAGGATTTGGAGGAAAAACTTGCTAAAGCCGAACAACGACGATTAGAGTATCAGCAGCACAAAATTTTTGCAGTTCAAAGAATAACTCAATTCAAAGATATATCCATTCAGGAAAAAGTAGATTAATTCTTCGTTTCAATGAAAAAATCTGCTAGCATTTCAGATTTGTTTCCAAACTGCGGAGATATAAAATGGAATGCAGATATAGATAGTTTTAACGATATTTATTAATACAATTTACATTTTGTTTGATTATAGCTTACAATGTATCTTTCATATATTTATACCCGTTAGTATTCCCAAATACAAGTTCAATTACAATTATTCTTATAAATAATTTTTAAAGTTATAAATTTACTAATATTACACAATATTTCTGGTTCAATACTGTTTATATATTTTGATT